GTGATAAGCAGTTGAATATTGGAACACCTTTTTTTGTTTGTTAAAACACAATCTTAATACTTAGCATACATCAAACATTCATATGGGTTTGTTTAATTGTTATTGGCCATGAAATATGGGACTTCATATAATACAATTGATTCTCAATAAATGGGTTTATTTACATGATGTCACAGATAATATACATGCATGGCGTGATTGATGTGTAATGTACGATTTGGGGATTAATGGTCAATGCAAAAAGTCAACTTGGAAAAGCACATTACCAAAACAAACAAGGTCCATGTTTCAACTTTCATATCCTCTTTTTTTCACACATTCTCAAGTTTCCATATTACCTAAATCAAGATCTCTGGGAATGATCAACATATATATCCACAAGTTTAAGCATATATATTTGTATATAAGATATCTTGTTTCTTTTTTTTTTTTGGAAAAAATATAAGAAATCTTGTTTTGTGTGGTTTATATGCATCTGTATGAATCATTTCGTAATTTACCAATAATATTTTCCCATAAATATAATATAGAAATAAGAATCTTAAACACGCTTTGCAACGCGAGTGTGTAGATGATGGTTCTCTTGATTTGCAACTCTCACTAATTGCCCATGTGCAGCATATTCCCTTGGTTACTTCCAAGGCCACAAGCTAATTTTTTGTTTTAAATGATTTAAATCAATTAAATCAATTTAGTATAGTATAAAGTAAATAAGTAAGTTCACAAACCCCACCTTGTTCACAGCACATAGTTGAACAAAAACACGTGATCTGCTCATAAGCTTTTTAACTACAGTACATCGCATGACATAAAAACTCTCAAATCAAAAATTTCAAATCCTAAATAAAACAAAAAGCCAGAAACACATTATTCTACCTCATAATACAAGCTTAAATTCTTCCTTTTTCTTAAAAAATTATAACGAAACAAAGTTATTATATCTTTCAAAAGCAATTAATTTAATGCAAATGTATAAAGATATACAGTATATGCAATTTAAATTTACATAGTTAAACCTATTGAAATATCCAGAAGCAAATTAAACACTATTCAAAATAATAAATATTTCTTTTTCAGTGATTAGATTATTCTTTTGTGAAGCCAAAAATAAATAAAAGTTATTCTTTTGTAAGACCCACCAATCTCAGACCATGCAAGCTTTCATCCAGAGCACCAATCCACTTTCTCCCTAAAACAATTAATTATAATTTTGTTTTTGGCCATTAGTAATCGAGTTTTTCCTCTC